ATTTCTGTTTTAGAAGATTTATACTGGCACAAGAATAACACTTCTGAACAGAACAGTCCAGAAATAGGCCCAAACACATAAGGGAATGGATTATATAATAAAGGCAGCAATTAATTACATTGGATATTCAATATTCAATAAATGGTGTCAAAATAATTGATTAGTTGTATTGAGAGAAAAAAAGTGGTATAGCTACCTCAATCCTTACATAAAACTTATTCCAGAAAGATTAAAACTTTAAATGAAACTATAAGAGTACTCTAAGAAAATATGAGCAATTCTAAAAAAAAAAGATCTTGGTGTGGAAAGCTCTTTCTAAACTAAATACCCAAAATCTGTAATGGGGGAATAAAATATAAATGTGACTTTATTAACATTAAAACACTTCTGCAGGAAATAAAGAAAAAACAACTGAACAAAATCCAAAGGTAAAATATTTCACTATATGCAACATTTTTCCTTAATTCATAGACGGTGGTTACAATTACCAATCAGTTGGAAAAAGATGCTCCTAACCTAAATGCCCATAAGAAACTGATGAAATACATTATGGTATATTATGTTAAACAGAATGAAGTTTACATGCACTGATATAGAAAGGGTTCCAAAATATATTAAGTGAAAAGTGAAAGGAGTAGAATAGTAGTTATGTTAATAAAGATAGATATAGACATTTTCTTTTCATACGAAATGTGGTTATCTTTGAAGGTAGAATTGTTTAAAATAATTTTTATACTTTTCAGTATATTTTCCAAATTTTCTATAATGAACATATTTTATAATCAAAAGATGTAATAAAATAATAAAGTGATAACTTTCAGTGACACATACTGCAAAGAAAATATACTTAATCCCCTTAGTTTACATAACTTATGAGTAAAAGTTGAGAAGACCACTTGCAAACACTAATGTCTATTAGCAACACAGAAGGAAATAACAGCTCCATTATGTTTTTATAAATCCCTCTGTCACGCAAAATTCAAAAACATAAGTAATCTAAGAGACTTGATATTAATGTTATTAAAAATTCTTAACTCTATGTTACTTTATGCAAATGATAAAATTTTGTAATGTACCATAGCATAATAAATAATTTATAGCACAGCAATAAGGTACACCTGGTCCAGGTTGGTTTAAACCCTTCCTACCTCTGAGGTGAGGCAAAACACACACATGAATTGGCTCTTTAAAGTACTTTTTTCCCAAGTAAATATTAGCTTCAGTGAAGAGTTCTGATAATTTTACCAGTTACTCTCTAAAAGCTATATGATAAAAGGACATCATAAGGACTAAACTACATAGAGGCTTTAGAGAATGTGTTGTGTTCCAGATCTCTTGAAAAGAAGTATATTTCTAAATGCCATGTGTTTTAATACTTAAATATTTCATTTTTAAATTTAAAAGATATACTCCACAAAAAATACAAAACATAAAATTTGAAGTAATGCATAAGTGTGTTGAAGTTATTATACTGCAGGTTGTCCTAATGCTTACGCTGGTGGGCACGAACATCTAATCAAGTGAGGATTTATCCTTTTTACAAGAGCGTGCAATTCCTTTTCAAATTCAGCTTCTATCTTATCACTTGACCCCTGAAGCCTTTTGAGGGCAAGGACACCTGTATCTTTAGACCCCGTCAGAATGGGGCATTGGCATCATTTGACTGTCCGTGTGGTCCCTTTCTTCACTTAGCTCAAGTTTCTTTCCTGACCTCTTCAGCAGTCTCTGCTGCTGCTTAGGAAAACCCCTTCTTACCTGAGTTTGCCACCTTATAGGAAAAGAACAAACTTTTAGAGTGAAGACCCTGGACGCTCAGTGCCCAATTCAGGATGGCAAAAACTCACAAAGGAGAAGGCGGGGACGACTGCAGCGCGGAGGAGGTGACGACCTCTTCGGTCGGGCTCGGGTCAGAGAAGGGAACGGCTGACCTCAGCCTTGAATCACAGCCAAAGGAAACAGCTCGCCGATTAGAAGGCACCGAGGAAGACCCCGTAAAACTCTTCTCACGCCCATGCACCCAGCCCAGGAGCTTCGTTCCCACCCAGCTCTTCTTTCTGGCATCATTCATTGGCTGAGCGAGTGTGATGGACAAACCTGCAGCCCAACGAACGTGCAAGCCCATCGGGTTTCCCGGCTCTTTTCACCCTTGACTTAGCCTAGGTGGCTGAAGCACCCACCACCCACCGTTTGCATTTCTGGAATCCTAGCTTTTACTGATTCAAAAATCCATGACACCTGCCCGTTCCCCACCCCTAACCCCGCCAGACTTAACCTGAAAAGGCAAAAATACCAATACAGGTAAACTGGGACGAAGTGAGAGAGTGGCATTGTAATGTACACACTACCAAATGTAAAATAGATAGCTAGGGGGAAGCAACTGCATAGCACAGGGAGATCAGCTCGGTGCTTTGTGACCACCTAGAGGGGTGGGATAGGGAGGGTGGGAGGGAGACGCAAGAGGGAGGAGATATGGGGATATATGTGTATAGCTGATTCACTTTGTTATACAGCAGAAACTAACTCACCATTGTAAAGCAATTATACTCTAATAAAGATGTTTAAAAAATAAATAAGTTGTCTTTCGAATTAGCTTCTTACACCCACTCGATTTGAGACAAGAACTTGTGATAAAACTTAATCAAAGTGATGGACTGGGAGAAAATACACCAATCTATTATATATACAGGGCATATCTTCCTGTAGTATGCTTCTGAATGATTGTTATTATCTGCACTTCTCCTTCTATTTTGCAAATATTCTATAATAACATACGTTCCTTTAACATTGGAAAATACAGAGCAGGAAGGGGCTAACTACTTCGGCAAGTGTTCTAAGATGCAATAAGGATGTTGCATTCCATGTAGAAGTTTTGAGGGCTTTACTGTCTGTGATGTCTGGCAAGCACAGTATATATTCCATTTGAGAACCTCTGCATCAATGAGCCAGGTACATGCTATTTACTATAGTCTTCGATTCGGCACAGACTTATAAGTAAATCTGCTACCACACCCCTCCTTGATGGTTGCAAAAATCTCAGAACTACAAAAAAGTGACTTTCAGAATATGACTGCTATTGCTAAAAGCAATAATTTACTTCCTGATTTTGTATAAATTGTAACCTAAATATCCAAACATGCATGATTGGTTAAATATCTATCTCATAGGTTGGAATATTTTTACATTTATAGACATGCGGGGTGACTATTGTTAAGCAGGGATAAATGCAAGATACTAAACTATATATATGGTGGGATCTGGGAAGACTAGCAGGTAATTTTACGCCTAGTGACCCGAAATTCCCAAATCCTGTCTTCCTCTTGCCACAGCTCTTTCCTGTTAAGGTCCTGGAGGAAAGTATATGCAGTTGGGGAAATGGCAGATGTGAAATATGATATTATTTGTTGTGCTTGTGACTTTGTGCCCAGTACAAAGCTCTTTGGTAAAGTGAGTTTAAGGGGCTTCCTCCTCACAATAAATTCAAACCAAAATCTCCGGATCAAATTACTCTGTAACCAACCACATGGTACAGAAGTGGTGAAAGCATAATGTCACCTATAAGGAAAAATAAACCACATAGGGGAATGAGACCTCTTCCCAAGTCACGGTGGAAGGTGGGCCTGGGTCATTTACCCATCCTACTCCTGGAAGTGAAGACAACAACTTATATGGATGTCCTTTCTGGGTGAGGCACTCCTGCCTATCTCCCCTCTTCTCCATCCCTACCTCCTCCCATCCTTTCCACTCCCCACCCTCCTCCCTTCCCTCCTCCCCTCTCCCTTCCTTCTCTCCCCTTTCCTTTCCTCCTCCCTCCCACCCTCTTCTCCTTCCACCCCCCTCCTCACTCTGGTACCCTCCCTCTCCCTTCTCCCTCCCCACTTTCTCTACTTCAACCCTCCTCCCCATTCCTTCCTCCTCTTCTCTTCCTCTCTCCCCTATCTTAGTCCTTCTCCCCTGTCCCATTTCTCTCCAGTCACTGGGGTGTGTACCCACCAAAAAAAGAGCTAAGATCTGTGAAATGTATCAGAATGTTAATTATATTGATAATTATATATTTTTAAATGTTCCTTTTCCTAAGGATTCTCTACTTTTTCTATAATAAGCACCATATTTTTTTATAATGAGGCAAAAATGGTAGATTTTTATAGCACGATACATTTTGACATTTATTTATTTTAGATTGTAATACAAGAACATGAAAAAAATACCAATGATGTAAAGTGATCATTTCCAGTGAAAGGCAAAGTAGAACATATTACAAAGAAAATGTGGTTAGTACCTTTAGTTTACAGTTACACAGGATAAGATGAGCAAACTTTTTAAAAATACTATGTTATATTAACACCTCAGTGGTAAACAATAACTTCATTATGCTTAAATTTATAAACCACTATGGCACATTAACAAGCTCACAGTCATATCATATATGGAGTTGATGGACATTATTAAATGTATACTAATTTTTTTCAAGTGGTCAAATTTCACAATGCACTGTTTTAGTTAGTATAATACTGTATTTCTATAGCAAAGTAATGAAGGCACAGCTAGTACAAGCAGATTTAAACCCTTAGTCTTCTGGGCTGGAAAAAGAAGAAAAAAAGATTTGCATTGATGCTTCAGGAACTTTTTTTTTCAAGCAAATATTTGTCTCAGTTAAACAATTCTGACAGTTTTCACAGCTACATTCTAATAGGAATATGACAAAAGGACTTCACAAAAATCAAAACTTTGTAGCACCAAACTAACATGCTTTAGATAATTGACAACAGTTTACATATTTTGAAGAATATTACACTACAACAGGCTAGATAGAATAAACTGATACTTAGACACTTTAAGACAATATTTTAGGCTACCAAGAAAGTAAGAAAACTCGACTGTGAGGAATACTAGTGCTGAGGTTACAGGGCAGGTTGTTTTTTGTTTTTTTTTTCCCAAGACTATATAAACCTACTTCACTTCTGCTTGAAATTTGAGATTCTTGAAAATTCTTTCATGCAGCCTTTTTTTTATTTTCGATATTTCCTGTTTCTACAATCTTTACCAACATCATAGGTACCATTGACTTCTCCTGTATAGTAATAGATTGATTTCAGGATGACATTATCATGTAAAATTTGACCAATTTCAAAGTCCTCATCAAGGATAGCATCTTCTCGTGGTTCAAGCTTTCCAATTGTAGGAATCTCAGGAGGGCTAAAGAAATTGAAGAATGATGCATTAGGAACCACTCTTGGCTGGGTTTCAACTTCTCCAGTAGCAGTTGTGCGACTCCGGGTGGTTGTCACTGTAACATCCTTTGCTCTTCTCCAATCTATCTTACAGCCTTTGCAATCTTGGATTTCCCAGCCCCAAGAGAAGAAGGGATCATTGTGATCTGGCTTTGACTTTATTATATATGTCTTGGTCAGCACCTCATTTTTGAAGTATGGATTGGGTAGAAAGCAAAATTCAAATGTGTAACTTATAGGCCGGCCAGGTTTTGAGAACTTCAGGCTAACATCGGACAGGAACTTCAGAATGGGCTCATCATACTTCTGAATCATGGGCCCCAGCTTGTCAACATTCTTTAAGACAGTCAGCCAATAGTCGGGAATGCCTTTAGGATCTTCTCTTTTAGGCTTTCCCTTGCGAGCTCTTTTAAGAGCTCTTTCTTTAGGCCTGACCTCAGGAACTCTTTTAGGAGCCTCTTTTCCTGGAGCCCTTGCCTTAGCCTCTGTTACTTTAGGCTGCTCTTTATCTTCTGCCTTTGCCTGGGGGGATTCTTTCGGATCCTCTTTTACTTCAGTCTTGGCCTCCAGAGCATCTTTAGACTCTTCTTTTTCTTCAGCCTTTGCCTTGGGATTTTCTTTCGGAGCTGCATTTTCTTCAGCCTTGACCTCAGGTTTTGTTTTCGGGTCATCCTCTTCTTCCTCACCCTCTAAGGCAGGCATCTCACTAGGGCCTTCTTCCTGCACCTCCTCATCACTGCTGAACACCTCATCCTCCGAATTCCATTCACATTCTTCTTCCGTAGGCTCATATTCTGCATTGATGATTCGAAATCGCCGATCATACAGAGGCCTATTGAGTTCGGCATATTTTCGTTCGAGATCGTGAATTGCCTTTAAGAACAGGGCGTCTACCTTGTCACATTCATCTTGAATATTTCTGAGCGCCTGTACACGATTTCTAACTGCCCGAGGCAGCTGATCCACGAAACTTCTACCCGACGGAGCCCGCCGCGCACTTCTGGAAGGCCCAGGTACCCTCTTCTTTCTATAGAAGCGGCTGCAGCTACTGCTGCTGCTGCTGCTGCCACTACTACTGCTGCTGCTGCTGCAACTAGTGCTGCTGCTAGAGCTGCTGCTGTCAGATTCTTCCCCAGAATCGCTAGACGAGCTAGCCACCATCTCTTCATCCACCCCCTGGGCGGCAGGTTCCAAGACCCTGTTAGGATCCGCTTCTGCCATTTTGCAAGCCTGCACACCTCTTAGGGTGGTGACTACCGCGCGCCCACAGATGGGCAGAAAATGACTCACGGATGCTTGGGTGTCGGCGGCGGAGGCTCTGGCTGAGGTGTTGGCAGCGGTGAAGGCAGCAGGAGCGCGGGGCGGGGCGCGGCTGGGCCGAGGAGATCGCAACGGGGGTGGCAGCAGCAGCGGAGACCTGGACGAGAGCGGCGAAGGCAAGGCCTCTCCCAGCTACAGCTGCGGCGGACTGAGGCGTGCCGCAGCCGAATGGCGCAGTGCAAGACCCCGAGATCTCTTCACTGCTTACATCTCGAGCCCCCTCCCCTCGCAGTCAGACCTCCAGTTCATTTAGTTCCCAGTGTGCCCTCAGCTCGCACCTCATTTGCTGGGCAAGCTTGATTGACAACCTCTCAGCCCAATGAGTGACCAAACGCACCTCCCCCTCCAGGCTCCGCCCTCCTTCCCAGACGCTCCTTGGTTGCTGAGGCAGACACCCCTGGAAGACGTTTTTTCCCCCCTCAAAATTCTATCTTTATAGTTTTATAATTACAAAAAAAAAAAGCTTAGATATGAGGTAAAAATACTAGTCATGATTCCTAACAAGGGAAGAGGAATATTCTTCTCCCGTCCGCTCATCCTTAATTCCCGCTTGGTTTGTCAGGGGCCTCGTAACAAAAATCTGTTTTTAAAAAAATTGGGTGAAAATGCTCCAAGTGGCATCATTGGGTAGTGTGATTATTGATGATTTTTAAAATTCTTTTTCTTTTATCTAATTGTTCTATGAGCATGTATTTTTACACTGGGGGAAAAAGGGGGAGTCGTTTATTGGTGAAGGGGGGAGGGGCTAGAAAGCAGGCATATTGCATTCCACGTAGCAGTTTTAATAAGTGCTGTCTGTGATGTTTGGCAACCCTGGTTTATATCCATCTACAAGGTTTGCGAACCCATGTTGCCGTGAGTCAGTTACACCATTTTTACTATATTTCTCTTTTTAAGCTGGCATATAATAGACCCCAACCTTGCTGCTGATTTGCCACGTAGTCCTTCTCAATGATTGTAACAACCTTATAGATAAAATAAAAGGGCATTCAAATGTTAAGTAGTATTATTTAAAAGCAGACGGTTTGTTCTATACTTTCGTGCAGCAGTTTTCAATTCCACGAATAGCAGGACGGGAGGGGGAATCTGTGCTGATGAAACTGCATCCTCTGTCAGGGTGTTCTTTACATTGTCATCTTCCACCAGTTTCCTTCTAACACTGTAAAATTCTAGCCATACTAAAGTATGATTTACAAGTCCAGTAATATATGAATAAACTTTTGCAAAATGAAGTTTAAAAACAGGTATCTGTTATTTTTATTTACAGGATTCTTTTCTGCAACAGAACAACTCCTTTGGTACAACCAAAAAGACCAGTGTTTACTTTTCATTAAAAGGTAAGGAACATATTTAGCCCATTTTTATGAATGACAAGAATTACCTATCTGTGTTTGAATAAAAATTCACAAGATATAGTCTTTTAAAGACTTAATTGGAAGATATCTTAGTAGTTCTATGGAAGCGGAAAACTCCACAGAGGTGATTTGGAATGCTAATGTAGAAAATAACCTAATTAATCACATTCACTTTCTAAACCTGCTCATAGAATACAAGTAGCAAATTAAAATATAAAATATGATGAATTATTCAAGTGAGGAAAATATTAAAGTTAGATTAACCCTTATGTTACCTTTTTATTATAGGATTTGTGCTTAGTCATTTAGTCATATTTTTTAAAAGTTAGGAAACACTTTTATTTTCTATTTTGTAAATGAATTTACTTTTATTGTTTATTCCTGGTTGTCAAAGTATGTAAGCATTGTAAGGAAAAATACAATATAGAAAATTCCAATGATAATAAAAACACAATCTTAATAATTTGTTAACCATTGTTAGCATTTTGATGCATTTCCTTCCAGAATTTTCTTTGTACATATTCACACCTGCCTGTTTATATATGCTGTTTTATCTATGTGACATCGTATTATGTCTTGTAATCTGCTCATTTATCAATTAATTGTGACTATACTTTCATAGTAAATGAACAACATCTTATTTTAAAATAGATGCATATTCCATGGAAATATTTGCCTTAATTTATTTAACCAGATTCCTATTGTAGGGCAGCTACTTCCCAAACCATCTCTCCACTAACATTCATATTTTCTCCTGTTATAAAAAGGTTACCCCTGTATACCTACTATATGCACTTGTAAAAATTAGTCATATGATGAATTCCTAGAAATGGGAGTGCTGGAATAAGTTGCATGCTTATTTTACTCTTTGATACACGTTGCCAAACTTCTCTCCAGAAAAAATTATCACAATTTACAGTCCCACCAACAATGCATGAGTTCATTTATTTAGTCATTCAACTAATATATTTTTGTGCCTGCCATGTGCCAGGCACATGTGGTAGAGGATGATGATATAATGCTGACTATAACTTACTGGGTGCATATCCTTTCATTTTATAATTTTAATTAAAACATATACTATGGAAACAATGATTTAAATCAATGAAGTTATGCTGTAAATATTGTTCTACAGATTATTATTTTCCTTTAAAATGATGGTGGATGTATTTTGGTAATGAATGCACTTATATTTTATAGTACCTTAATGGTTTCATATACATGTTAAACTTTGTACCAACAAGAATTAGTATTTTGGAGTTAGCAATGAGTTAGGGATTCAGACTTTTTTAATGTATTTTTATTAGCTAGTTAATTTTCTTAGTACCACTTATTTGATAATCTTTCTGTCTCACACTTATTTGAAATACCACCTTTACTGTATTAACTAAATTGTTTGATTCTGTTTCTGAGTTCTGATTTCTGATGCATTGTCCATAATTTATCTGCAAATAACTGAGGCAGTTTTTTAATAACTTTATCTTTTCTGAAAATAATATAGGTTGAAAAAAGTCAGTACATTGAAATCCAAATAAGAAATTTAAAATAACTCAAAATACGCTGAGATAATCACTATTCACATTTTAATAAACATCTCCAAATTAATTTCTTATTATTATGCATTTCTATTTCTTAGATTAGTGGTAAGATTGAATGTCTTTTCATATGTTTATTGTCCACTTGGGAATTGCTTATTCATATCCTTTGCTTGTTTTTCTACTGAATTGAGAAAGAAACTAATCAGTGGTGAAATCCTAAGGGTAAAATAATTTTGACCTTGATTTAAGACAACTGTGACTCCTTTAGAAAATAGCTCTCTTCTGATTTATGATATTGGACAAATGTGACTCAACTACAACTTTCATTCTAAAATTATCTACTTAGAGGCTTGTTTAGATGCTTTTCAAGAATTAATACTTAATCATTCACACCGATACAGAAAAGTTTGGAATGGAACAGGGAGAATAAAAAGAAAAAAAACTTGTAAAAAAACCTCATACAAAGATAATATATTAATGAGCTATCCTGATATTTGATTGGAAGTCTGTTGTCCCAAGCCATAGATTTTAGGTACCTTTTTCTAACAACAGTCTACTTTTGATGTGTATATAATACTTTAGGTATCTCATAACACACTTTTATTTTTGTCGTTTTTTGGTCTGTTAGTTAATTTTATAATGGCAGGTCCCTAAAAGAAAATAAATTTTATGTTCATATAATGAATATAATTTATGTATAATGCCATATTTTTTCTATTTTTATAAGTGTGCAAGCATATAATATGCTATTTTTCTTAATAAGGCTATCTATAAATTACTTGCATAGTAATATGATCTCTGTTCCATTATTTTATAATATTCTTTTTGGAGGGTTAAATGTTCATAGTTCTACATGAGATGATGCTTAACACAGAATCTATTGGTATATTCCAAGCTGAACATGGCTCTTGGACATCTGTTTACACCTTACCTGTTATGAACATGTACACAATCCCACCCACCACCCCTGCCACACAAACACACATACATAATACACAATGAAAACTGCTGTAGCGTTATCTTTTGTTGTAGATGTTTAAGAAGCCAAGCATTGCAAATTCATTTATTTTTGGACTTATTGTTTGTTGTTCTTTTTTTTTTTTGGTTCATCTAGATAGATTTTATCTGAATAAACAAGTTAATTATTTTCTAAAACAATTTTATTGAAGTACAGTTGACCCTTGAACAACACAGGTTTGAACTGCATGGACCCACTTATACACAATTTTTTTTCAGTAAATACTACAGTACCACATCAGCTCGGTGCTTTGTGACCACCTAGAGGGGTGGGATAGGGAGGGTGGGAGGGAGACGCAAGAGGGAGGAGATATGGGGATATATGTGTATAGCTGATTCACTTTGTTATACAGCAGAAACTAACTCACCATTGTAAAGCAATTATACTCTAATAAAGATGTTTAAAAAATAAATAAGTTGTCTTTCGAATTAGCTTCTTACACCCACTCGATTTGAGACAAGAACTTGTGATAAAACTTAATCAAAGTGATGGACTGGGAGAAAATACACCAATCTATTATATATACAGGGCATATCTTCCTGTAGTATGCTTCTGAATGATTGTTATTATCTGCACTTCTCCTTCTATTTTGCAAATATTCTATAATAACATACGTTCCTTTAACATTGGAAAATACAGAGCAGGAAGGGGCTAACTACTTCGGCAAGTGTTCTAAGATGCAATAAGGATGTTGCATTCCATGTAGAAGTTTTGAGGGCTTTACTGTCTGTGATGTCTGGCAAGCACAGTATATATTCCATTTGAGAACCTCTGCATCAATGAGCCAGGTACATGCTATTTACTATAGTCTTCGATTCGGCACAGACTTATAAGTAAATCTGCTACCACACCCCTCCTTGATGGTTGCAAAAATCTCAGAACTACAAAAAAGTGACTTTCAGAATATGACTGCTATTGCTAAAAGCAATAATTTACTTCCTGATTTTGTATAAATTGTAACCTAAATATCCAAACATGCATGATTGGTTAAATATCTATCTCATAGGTTGGAATATTTTTACATTTATAGACATGCGGGGTGACTATTGTTAAGCAGGGATAAATGCAAGATACTAAACTATATATATGGTGGGATCTGGGAAGACTAGCAGGTAATTTTACGCCTAGTGACCCGAAATTCCCAAATCCTGTCTTCCTCTTGCCACAGCTCTTTCCTGTTAAGGTCCTGGAGGAAAGTATATGCAGTTGGGGAAATGGCAGATGTGAAATATGATATTATTTGTTGTGCTTGTGACTTTGTGCCCAGTACAAAGCTCTTTGGTAAAGTGAGTTTAAGGGGCTTCCTCCTCACAATAAATTCAAACCAAAATCTCCGGATCAAATTACTCTGTAA